ATATTTCAGAATATCACTGCATTTTTTAATAAAAAAGCAGACTTGGTGAGCATGAGAGACTTCTTTCAAAAGCATTAAAAACTTTCGTTCCAGTAGTGTAGTATACAGAAGTGTTTTTTTAGTCAGGGCTATTTATTTTCATGGTAATGTTTGTTACCGTAATTAACAAAGTTAACATAAAGCATTGCCCGTCCTTGTTAATGTGCCCCTACAGATACACAAATGCGCTGTGTTGCCCTACTGAGTATTTCCTGTCTGATGAGGCCGATCAAAACTGTCCTCTCATTAGTGAAACAGCAGGAGTAATTAATTGTGTTTATTTTTAGGGGTGGCAGAGAGCACGGGACTAAATTTAGCACGTACGAAGATCAGTGGGGCCGGCCAATTAAACGCAGGCAGAGCAGAGCCCACCAGGGTACCTCAGTCCAAAAAACAAAAACAAATCACGATATGATGAAGTGTGTGCGCTGTAATACAGTACACTATGACAAACCCCTTCTTCCCTTGTGTGTCTGCTTCCACAATGTCATACTGGATTTCACAGCAAAGATGGCCCGATTCGCCCGGTCACGTGCTGCATCTGCGCAACGTCCAGTCAATACGATCCAGTTCGTCATAACAGTCCTAATCAGGGTCAATCATACACAATCTACATCATATATGAGCACACACACCACCAGCCGTTGGAAATGATGCTTACTAGTCTGCTTGACTGTATTAGTTTGTATTAGGAGAAGGAGAATATGACATCACAAGCCTGTAAGTGATGCCATGTGCTGAGTTTGATTGACAGGTTCTGTTCTGCAGTATCAGCTGGTTTGGGAAGCAATCCATAAAAGAGAGAGAGAGGGCGAGAGACACAAAGCTGAGCTCAGCTGTGTTCCGTGCGGCTGCAACACTGTTCGTTTACATGACAGCTTCCCCAACCCGGCCTTGACATCTGTCAGTCACACGCACCGCGGTCACAGTAATAAAGATTTAAGAGCTTCTAAAAATATACGGCGGGACACTAACACACAAACGCGGCCAGAAACAGTCAGGGCGTTCCATCTCTCCACGAGCACAACATCAGCCCTTCATGAGGAGTCTGTCTCGGATCATTAAAATGCTACTAAATGCAGCCGCAAAACTACCAGACAGGAAGCGACTCGTTTCAAGACAACATGGCTGACCCAAATGCACTTCGAGCCTCTAGAGTAAAACAAGGGAGACACAAAAAATGTTGGAAAGAAGTAGAGCAGAGGGATCTCTTTCATGAAACAACTGAATGCAACCATTTATGTAAGAATGGTTTTACAAAAGTTTGCATAGGAATTTGTTATATATGCAATTGAATGCAACAATTTATGTACATAAAAATGTGTTGTGCACAATCAAGCCAATGCAACAATTTTTGTAAGAAATGCTGGATGAACGAATAAGAACAGAAGTTAATATGCACATAATTCTATGCTGTTTTGCAAACAATTGACATAAAATTTGCTAATTAAAAAGCAACAATTTACATAAGAAATGATGCAGATTTATTATGCACATAATTCTATGCAATAAATGTAATTATTTCACTACGAACAATTCAAATTCAGCCACTTTTAAAAGAGACAATTTACAAATAAATTGTACTACATAGAAATATGTTCTGCATATAATAAACTCAATGTGACAATATATTTGAGCATGAACTATTGAACTATTTATGCAGAAATTTGATGTGCATTAGTTTAATGTGAGAATGATTTTACGAACAGATTATGTAGAAACATGCTCCACTTATACAGCCAATTCAAAGCAAACAATCTGAAATAATGTACAGAAAATCTACACAATTTTATTATGCACATGATTTGATGTGATTTTATGAAAGAATTACTCCGAAATTTTCTATGTACAAAGCCAAATCAAAGCGACAATTTACATATGAATTTTTACAAACAATTTACACAGACATTGATTATGTACATAATCAATTCAATGCAACAATTTACAACTATTTACACAAAAATTTGAACAGTTGATTTTCTGAATGATTTACACAGAAACTGGCAATGTACAGAGCCAATTCAAAGAGATTATATAAGAATTGTTTACGAACATAATCCATTGTGAAAATTTATGTAAGAATGGATTAACAAATAATTTACATAGACATTCGTTCTGCTTGCATTTCTGTTCATTAATAAAGCCGCTGGAAAAATGACACCCTCCTGGCAGCTTTGGTGAACTATTTTCAACGGACTATGATTTGGAAAGCAAATCTTAATCTCAGATATTATTTAGGGCAGATAGTACGTGAATTGGGGCGCAGGGTCTATCTATCACACTCATTAGCAGTGACCTAAAGAAGCAGGTGCGAATAAACAGGTCAACGCAGGTGTGGACCAGTTTCTGCTGGAAACGGGAAATTAATTTCTTCTGAACTATTCCGTAGAAACTTAAATGCATTTCTTTTACCCAATTTTGAAAATACATTTCTACATAAAATAGTTAAATAACTCTATAATACATTAAACCAAAATTAATAACTATTGTAGAAAACCCTAATGCATTTTTGAATTATGGCTTATGATTTTTCACTATGGCTTTCCCAAATTCTGTTGATTCTGTGCACGCTTTAAAATTATTATTATTTTTTTTAACGTGTGAAAGATTATAATATTGCAGCTAATTTGTTGATGTTCAAACACTGATTAAATTGTGCGGACAGCCATAAATCACAATACAAGATTTAATATCATCCATCTATGTGCTTCTATTAAACACTGTCAAAACTCATCCCCTCCAACTCTTTATCATGAGATTACAAGACGTCTCCTCGTTCCCCTCTAGCTTGTTCTCTCTTGCTTTACCTTGTTCTACATCCTACATCGCTCGCTCTTTCCTCTAGATTTCTCCCGTCTGCAGCTCATTTCGAAATCAATGATTTCAGAACTTCATTTCCCCGCATTTCCTGACGCCTGAAGGGTCGTTCTCATTCTGGGCCCATTTTCTCTCTCTCCATTTCTCTCGCTCGCTCTCTTTCTCTCAGTTGTCAGGAGTCTGCTGGGCTTTGGGTGATGGTTGGGTCTAGTCGCCAGCATACTGCTGGCCCCGATAGCAGCGGGCCCAATCTTTAACTGTTCAGTCAAGAAAGCTGCTCGGAAGCACTCAGAGCACTGCCGCTTTGTGGCCAACCAACTCAATTCCATAGCACTGAAACATCGGCTCCGTTCCAAACCCTAGTGAGCCGCCTAGCAAGACAGCAACGAGCAACACTCTTCAGCAGGCAGCAAAATTACATTGCTTTACCAGATGTCTCATTTCGGCACACATTTAAATCAGCATCACTTGCATTATTCGCAGAAAAGCCAATCCCGAAATGCATTGTAATGATTCCAAAATGGCGAGGGAAATATAGTTTGATTGTGTTTTCTAAACAGAACTCCAATTCAATCAACAAGCAACATAGTAAACAAACTATTTTTCATTATTAGAGCAAATATAAAAGTAGCTGGTAGGGATGGGCCAGAATTGTTGAGCTAGTATTCTGAAGCTGAAGTCGAATAACAGGTTCAAGGCAAGAAGTTTGAGCACTGAAACATATACATCCAAGATTATTCAATAAACTCTACTAATTTTTTTAATCATCATTACTTTGTCTCTTCTTTCTCAGTCAACCTCTTGGCTGACAGAAGACTGTTAATACAGTTTTGGGTATACCAGACAAAAGTTTTTTTTTGGCTTTTCATAATGTGGTGTTTGAGACTATTGCAAAAAAAACATCCAAAATATTTGTGATTTTATTTAATTGCACTTTATCTATTTGCATCTGTACATTTCAATTACTATGCACATCTTTAAAGGCCGTTTTCTCAAAATCAGTTTTCATTATATATTTTCTATGTATATTCCGAAGGTTTTACAGATGGGTTTGTTAAAATATAATTTGCTTAATTTTATTTTCAAAATGTCAATTAAAAATGTTATTCTTAAAAACATTATTATTATTATTATTATTATTATTATTGATTGATTGATTTAAATGCAAGCATATTAGTGCATATTCAATTAAATAACGGCTCATTTGCATTTAAATTAATGCAATCATTATTAATGTAATCATTCATCTAGTGAAGTATGGTTATATGGGTTCCATTTATTTACCCTTTATACCTGCCTTAATATTTTTGCAATGGTACTTATAAGGTGACACCACTTTTCAAAGAGAAACCAGAGAGATGCAAATTCTCAGCAAGGTAAATAAAACTCATCTGCACTATCAAAGCAACATTTGTGTAGTTGGGATGCATTAGAAGGTCGCTGACAAAATAGGGAGCATTCAGCGAGGTAGCACACTAGAATGTGAAGCAGTCATTTTGAGTCTCCTGCGTGTGTCTGCATGGCATGACTCACATTAGAGAATTTCAGCTAATCTCGCTCGAACACCAATTTATGATAAGAAATTCCGAGTGTCTACCAGTGAAAGACCTCAGGCAGTGTTCATATGCTACTTTTAGTCAAAAGTACTAAAGTACTTTACTTACCAAACACATGATTCATTTCTGAAGCTTAATAAACACTCATTTTTCAGCTGTAATTGTCATATGCGCCTGCACATTCCACACGATTTAATCAGCCGCTAAAAGACTCAAACCAACACAGCGAAAGGCACTTCAAGATCTTCAAAGAATATGGTGGTGCAAACACGGTAGTACCATAGCATTTCTTATGGAAATGTGTAAATATGATGCTCCATTCATCCCTGAATTCATCTTATGTGTCGCTGTGTCGTGTCCTATGGATTTGAAGAGGGAGCAGATTGGACGAAGACAAACTCATTACCTGCTTAGTTAAGCAGGCTAATAGAGAACAGTGGGCACTGATAATATTTTTTTTAGAAATCCAATTTTTTTCTGATTAAAAGAGACAGTGGATCGATTCCCCTTTTTAATGCAACAGATAACACCACGATTATCAACGGCTCGACTTCCTGCTGGGAGAGAGCGATTGTTAGCGCTGCTCACCTCCAGAGCTTTGCGTTTCCTGTTGAGCAGTTTGGCGATGTCTCCTGCCACCTTCTCCACCAGCTGCTTGGGCATATTTCGCTCCACACCAAAATGATTTCTCTTGTCAGTATAAATCTGTGGGAGGCAAAGGTCAAAGGTCAGGCACGCAGTGATTTCCTTTGTGATCAAACACATCAAAAATGACAGAATTTTGCAGCTCAAAACAAAAATATCTTGATATTTTACATATGAAATTCAATATTTAGAAAAAAAATACAATAAGTAAAAGGTTGAATTTCTTAAATATATAAGCATACCATTCCAAAGCATTTATCACCATTTTAATGAGCTCTTAAAATTGTAGCATCTTAGTTAATATGTTCCAGTAAGTTGAGCAAGCATAAAACTAGTCTACTGGAACATGCGTCAAGTAAAAAGAAGACTAAAATCATTACACTATTGATGTTATGTTGCATTTCATGCATGTCATAATTGTTCAGCTTATTATTTTATATATATATATA